AATGAATGTCACCATCGTGTTCTACGCCCCAAATTACCCATAAAACATGTGTCACAGGCTGCGAATATCAGTTTTGATTTTCGGGGATATGTGCCTACCCGGTTGACCTGACCTTGACCCTGACCTGACCTATGCTTGAGTGACCCCTACACGGAGCTGACACTCTTGTAGGCCTTATATGATGGATTGTGCACCGTTTTGACAGAGTTTATGACGAGAGGCGCCCATTGCGAAGTCCTGAAGTCCATGCTACTGAAAGCCCGATTTCAGGTGTTCGACCTGACCTTGACCTGACATGTGACCTCAAAATTCAACTTTAAAGTACTCATCTGAAGCGTCTCGTTGCGTTCTTCCGTTTGCCGCCACGTGCGTTTCGCTGCGCCTATTGGTTCTCGAGTTGTCGGCTGGGGGCGTTTAACGCCCCCCCCCCCCAGCAAACGGTGGGTGGCGAAATACCCCAGCAACTGCCGGGTTAGGTGGTGCGGGCACTAGGTAGAGCAGTTGACAATCCGATGGCGTGCAAGAGGTTTGCAAGCAAAGTCCGCCTAGAAACTAACCCATATAAATGAAAATACTTCAAAGGCATTTTGATTTTTGATTTATATTGAATTATAATCGAAAGCCACATACCGGAACATTTCACACTCGTGTAGGTATGTAGACTGTAGACTTTACATTGTACAACACACATAAGTCACTGTAGCCGCGCACAAAGAAACCATTTTTGAAAGAAGCTTATATGAGAAGTTCTTTAACCCTCGCCGGCCGAGGGGGGGGGGGGCGGGTGCCGCCCCCCCCCATAGGGTTTTTTCGCGATAGCTCCGAACACGCTGGCGATAGAGAGCTGAAACTTGGCATACCTGACTTTTGATCCAAGCCGCATCTTTTGACACCAACCGCATTTTTGGGTCAGGTCAGGTCACTGACCTATGACGTCATAAGTGAACCTCTGCACGGTCTTCAGATGTCGCAACTTCGCAACGCCCTCACTGCCAGAGGAGATGTCACAGGGAAATGAAACTTGCAGGATCTAGTATCCATTATGAGTCTCACAACTTGCATATCTCGGATTTTTCCTAAAGGTCATATGAGGTCAGGTCATTTTCGTGACCTCACCATTATAAGTCAATGGGGAAAAATGAAAACTGCTATTCTGGCGCCGGGAACGATCTCCAACTATCTCAAGCACACAGAATCGTGATTTGATGCACTCCTTGCAAGGTTAGATGCGTCACTTTTGCAATGTTGACCTTGCGTGACGTCATTTATGACGTCATCAAGGTCATATTAGTTTTTCGTCAATAACTCTTGATCAAATTGAGCTAGCGAGTCGAGAAAGCCACCAATGGACTCAGGAAGACCTGCCAAATCGAATGATATGCGACATGACCTCTTTCGACCAACTTCGTGACCTGGGGGTGCTGACCTGACCTTGACCTGAGGTCAACACCCCAAGTTGACCTGACCCGAACAAAAAGTATATCAATCGACGCGCCTGAGCGAGGCGAACACGATGCTGCCAAAATCGCGGCTCTGCGGCCGTTTTTTGCGAAGTTATTCACCAAAATCTGAACCGTACCCTGGGGCACTTGACCTGACCTCAGAGGTCACCGGTTGACCTAGGACCTTAAAATCGGGTACCAATCTCTGCGTCTCGTAACGGCGCACACGCTCGTTTTTTCCGCGACGCGCTAGCTCCACCAGGGGCGAAACGGCGAGGGGGGGTCGTACCCCCCCCCCCCTCGGCCGGCGCGTATGTAGAAAACCAATAGGTCCGGCGAGGGTTAAAGTTTCGAGAACAATGTTTCGAGTCGGGCACAGAACGTGAAGTGTCGCCGTCGCCAACACACGATCAGCTACAATGCATTTCATGAGCTACATACATACCCCGTTTCGTGTGGGCGTTTTTTATCTGTCAGGTCAGCGTCTCGGCGCCGCGCCGCGCAGTACAGAGTACAGACACGGTGCCCGGTGGCGATTGGAACATCCCCGCTCAAAACGGCTGCAGGTGACGCTTAGCATCCGCCTTCGTACGACTGGACACTGATCCGACCATTGCACGATGGGACCGCGGCCGGAATTAGCGAGACGTTGGTGGATTTGCCGACCTTTCCCCAAATTGAGTTAGACTGTCTCACTTCAGAAATGTCCATGGACCACGAATCTGCAAATATTTTTCGTCCATGGTGTATAGCGTCCGCGCCACATCAGCCCAAACACAAAGTTCTGGGACAAGCATCGTAGACCCGTTTTCGTACGGAGAAAAGTAGCAGCTAATGTAGGTAAGAAAAAGGTATATATTAGACGGCTTTATCAATATTTTCGGGGTGTAACCTGATAGTTTAGACCATGGGCTTCACGTTGGAAAGAAAAACTTATAGCGGAATATATAAATACGCTTCAAATGTTAAATTTTTTAGGTGCTTTTGAAACTGTGAGTTAATTTTACTGTTATAAATATTCTGGAATGCCGACATAAAAAGTCCCGCTAGGTCCCGCTCTTTTTTATCAATATGGTGTTTAACAATCAATTGCCTTTCAGAAAATGTATAATTTAGCTGCTTCAGCCTGCTACAGCGAAAGTGAGGGGCATTTTTGTTTTTACTTCAGGTCGCCGGCGCTGGCCGTGCGCGGTTACCGCGAGCCGGCCGGAAGCTGCGAGTAACAGAACCTCAGGAGTCTAAAAAGGTTGCCAAGTGCCAACTATATTTGAGTTTTGTCCGGACATATCCGTACCTGCTGTCGGAGTGTCTGTCTGATATACTTTTCTGACCCGTACTTAACCCGCGAGTTGCTGGGGGGGGGGGGCGTTAAACGCCCCCACTTTTTTTCGCCGGGCCATAGCATAAAAACGGCGCGGGTACCTACCTGTAGGGAATTGATTGAAGTTTATTGTGACAAAGTTTCAAGAAGATCGGTCGGAAAATTTTTGAGATATCGAGGTTTTAGTGACGTCATGATTTCTGAGTTTTCCACCAAAAATGGCATATGTTCAAAAAATCATATAAAATCACAGAATAGACATACAGACATGCCGTAAACGCCATTAGACTGCCAATACCATGAACAATCAAATGGCTATCTTCGATTATTGATTATTGTTCCGCATTTTCCAAAATCTTGAACTGAATCTTGGCAATTTCTCGTGACTCCTTCACGACCATGATAGGTACATGAATTTCTTAAATTCAAGTTTTTGAGCCAAACACGTAGGTACACATATGATAAAATGAATGTCACCATCGTGTTCTGCGCCCCAAATTACCCATAAAACATGTGTCACAGGCTGCGAATATCAGTTTTGATTTTCGGGGATATGTGCCTACCTGGTTGACCTGACCTTGACCCTGACCTATGCTTGACTGACCCCTACATGGAGCTGACACTCTTGTAGGCCTTATATGATGGATTGTGCACCGTTTTGACAGAGATTATGACGAGAGGCGCCCATTGCGAAGTCCTGAAGTCAATGCTACTGAAAGCCCGATTTCAGGTGTTTGACCTAACCTTGACCCGACCTGTGACCTCAAAATTCAACTTTTAAGTACTCATCTGAAGCGTCTCGTCGCGTTCTTTCGTTTGCCGCCTCGTGCGTTTCGCTGCGCCTATTGGTTCTCGAGTTATCGGCTGGGGGCGTTTAACGCCCCCCCCCCCCCCAGCAAACGGTGGGTGGCGAAATACCCCAGCAACTGCCGGGTTAATTTGTTATATAGTCATGTAGGCCATCAGATTCCCATCATGGTTTTGGTGGCTACATTAATTGCTTATCGGAAGTTCCGGTGCCGTCATAACCTGACCTGACAGGTGTTGCCATCTTATCACGTGACCGAACCGAGTCGAGGTCAGCGCAGGTCAACTGATTAATTAATTAATTAATTAATTAATTAATGAAATTACTAATAATTAATTAATCAAATTTATCAGAAATTGCTTAGAAAGTACACCGACTACCATTTGTATGATTCTATCATCCCTTTTTCATGTGAAAAGCGGACACGAAACACGAAAAAGTACGGCGATGTCGCGCTAATTTTCGCTCCGGTCCCACTGTGCATTGGACCGACGCGCTGTGCTGCCGCGTTGTCCTGTCTGGACGAGTTCGGCCGTCCTCTGCTGATACACCATTGCCCTGGCGTTGCAGTCGCCCGCCGCCCACTGCCGACGGTCGGCGGATGCGCGGTGGTGCGCCGGCCGGGACCGCGGACCGCAGCAGTCGGTCGATCAAGATCTGCGCCGGCGTAACGCGGGGAAACTTCAACGGCTCCTGTGACAGCAGCCGTTGAAGTTTCCCCACGTAGCACCGCTACGTAGCCTGGCGGCTCTGGAGGTATCTGGCGGCGGCCCACTGGGTCGCCACCACGCTGCTGTTTCGGACCTCCGGACCTCTCGGAAGTATGCTTCCTAGATGTCGTAGCCGGATCCGCATCAGGGCCAGGCAGCGGACGCTTGAGCCTGACAGCTATGCGCTCTAATCCACCAAGAAGAAGCACCAGGATGGTACTGCAGAGTCGATGGATTTTTCAATGAGTCTGACTCTGACTCCGGCTTCCAAAAATCAACACTCCGCCTCCAACTTGAAATGTCGGCTCTGACCGACTCAGAGACCGACTCAGACTCCGCAACCCTGACGGGTCTGGACATTGCGGCGGTTGGTGCGCTGCCAACTTTTGAAAAATAGAGGGGAAAATGTCACCATATGCTTTACCTTTTTCTATGTAACGTTGAACGGCCATTGCGGCCTTATCTGCCATCTGGTATGCGGTGGCGTTATCTAGCACAAGAAAATCTGTAGCTAGTATAAGCCCATTGGCTTACAGGGAAATTATTAGTATACGCCGTCAAAAGTAGCGGCTGGCAGACAGATCAGCTTTGGAGGGCCACCATGGGAAAATTAGGCAATTTTGAGACGAATGCTCTCAGAATGGGGCCTCAGCCACCTTCTCCTACGACCTACACGTTTCAGTGCACAACTCCGAAATTTTGAAAAAAAAACTTGAACCTTAAGATCCCGGACATGTTCTCTATATTTGCATGACTCGTCAGTTTCCAGAAACAGTACGACGCATCAAAACCAACCGCAAGCTTTCATTTGGCGTACGTTCTCTCACGAGAACAATATTCAAGCAACCCACTACCCAGTCCGACGATCGAATCAATATCTATCACACACCATAATGGCATCCACACTTCTTCATCTTGACACCTATTCAAATGTACTTGAAGACTACATCGTCCCGAGAGTCTGTAGTTTGCAGCTCTAATTTGACGGGGCACTGCAGCCAGTTGGTTAGCATCTCCTCGGTATAGCCGATCAGAAAGTACATCTTCCTCGGCAGGATGCCCCGAACCACGATACCGCTGATCCGAATCATATTCAGCTGACGTTTGATGATCACCTGGTGCAGAAGAGCATGTGAACGTGAGAAGTCATATCAAGAGACCTATTACAGCACATCCGCTCGGCTGGCGCCTGGAAGCGATGCAGACTGCCGCCCATAATAGAATGATACATATTCGCGACGTCATTATGTAGCTTATGGTGTTATATTATAATTTACGTATCCTTGAGATTATAATCATACCGATAAGTATGACAATAATTCGGCCATTTGCCCTCTACACTTACGTATGTCTGCACTCCTCGCGCCTACCGCTCGGATATTACGTTTATGATTACAGCGATTAGCCTGAACATTGCCCTCCACCTTTCCTCTTACCACACAGTCTTTCTCACACTTCCTTCTCACCTCGGAGAGAAACATGTTGTGCCATGTTCCCGATATGAACTTGCGGATGAACATATCCTCCATCGCGGTCTCGGAGGGACGCACGCCATCCTTGAGGTTTGCTGCGGACGGAAAATCAATCGCGGTTAGAGCTGGCAGCCTAGCTACGTCACTTATCAAATATCCATCCTACGCTTTATAATGTGTCCTGGTGGCTACTGCTGCAGTGGGGGCTGCATGTCACTGAGGAACATTCAGATTGGAAGTGATTATTGATCAGCTTACTAGGGAAACCAGCTCATTACACACAAAATCCAAGGGAGGTGCTCAGCTGCAATGTAGGTGATAATGTGACACACTAACTTGCAGGCCATATATCATCACCAAACAGTTGACACACTAACTTGAACTTAGCCTGGCATGCAACTCTCACATGTGTTGAATGAATTGAAGCCTTTTCTGACAAACAAGTAGTGTGGTGGGTTGGCCTGCTCGTAGGTCAGCGGCCTGTTCTTGCTGCGGGTGACCTTGTAGCGGCCTGAGCTGACCTTATTACAGGCAGCTGTCAGGTGGATGGGACGACAGGCTGGCTCTGGCAGAGCAATCCGCAATACCTGAAAAATGTGGGAATGCACTACGTAATTCAGTTAAATAACTTGTCATTAAGAAAAGAAAATGATTTTCATTGGTAACAGCTATTTACAAATTTTGGAAATTACACGTGTTTTTGCACTCCACAAAAAGCAGCAAAATATTATCTATTACACTATATTTTAATATCAATCATGTTTGCAAAAAAAAAAATGTCTAAGAACTGTTGTAGACTATACATGACCCAGGTAATTGAACATAAATAAAATATCGTGACAAGCTTTTAAGGTATTTCTAATTTGAGTAAGAACTGTTACAAAATTTAGGTACCTTCAGAAGTTTTGAAACTTTCCCACAAGACATTGCAACGACACTTCCAATAAGCCCAAGACCATCAAAGAAAGGTTTGTTATTAAATCAACCTTCGATCACGTGTAAAATTATCGCATACAATCTTGATACAATCAACGTCTTCACTCAAATATTTATTTTGTATTCAGCTCAAGGCTACAGAACTCGATTGATGACCTCTCTCCACGGCCATCTCAAGGTATATAAAAACACTGACCATCTCGAGAGCGCTCTCCTTCAATGCATTCTGTCGATTTTAAGAACGACCACCGACAATCAATCGATGCACACATATATTGTTGTTATTTTCCTGCATCACATGCAAAAGATTGCCAAAAAGAGAAAATTGACATACATGATAATTTATTCAGCAGAAGACTTTGCGTTCCTAGCACATAATTGTTGAAAGTCAGGCTGCCTTTCTTAATAAAATCGATAGTATCTAAACGTGGTTTCGACTTTTTGACATATTTTAGCTGCAAACATTGCACGTATCAATCAACATACAAGCTAAAATTATTTCACTCAATAACTAAGGTGTATTTTTGCAAGAAATGATGAAAAATGCATATTCGAGCACCGTCTTTGCGATTATCACATCGATATAAATTTGTCAGCTGTATGTCGAAAAACGCCCAAAATGCTCATGCCAGGGCACGCTCATGCCGCGTCAACGACGAACTCGACGCGATTATTGTGTGCAACACGTGCTTTTTGCGTGCTGTGTTTCGCTGTTTGCGTGCGCTATTTATCTAGTAGATAACATAAATCTACGTCTCTCAAGATTTTGATATAACTTGCTGAGAAACATCAAGAGGTGATTTGATTGTCTGTGGATTGCCTGCTGCAAATTACTGGAGCTTCTACCTGCATGTGACCTGCACTCGCTGCCACTGCATGCCTGGGAGGTAGTACTGGATCCAGTGACAGTCTTCCTCGTCTGTCTGCTTGCAATTCCCCGGCCATAGTCCAACTGTCCTCCCTGGTTCTTCTCCCACTGTACCTCCCCTGCTGGGCTTGGGCGTGAGGCATTGCTGTTTGTGCCTGACTGTTTGCCAGCTGCTTGCTTGCACCGACACTGCACTCAGACATGGTTAACCGCAGACTGAGACGGAGCCAGAGGCAGGCTAGTGCTGCTGGGGCTGCTGTGGATTCACACTCACAGTCTGAGACTAGCGGTGCTGACACTGCCGCTACTACTAAGGAGATATTTAAATGTGGAACATGTTCTAAAGATGTAGGTGGTCGTGACGACTGTATTGGCTGCGACAAGTGTGAAATATGGGTCCATGGTACCGAAATGTGCTCAGGGTTGCCGCAGAATGTTATTGATGTGATACTGGGGTACAGTGGTGAGGGCATTAACTTCATTTGCATGGCATGTCGGGTCTCCCAAGCATCCGTCAATGGGTCTCCTTCAGCTAAGTCTGACAATTTCAAGGAGGAAACAATTTCACAACTTTTCCAGCAGATTAGAGGACTGTCTGCTGCACTGACCGACCTCACAACCCAAGTAAACACCCTTTCCGCCCAACCTCGTCCCGCTCCACAGACGGAGTGTCGTGCTGGACAGGCTGGAGGCATGGCTGCCTCCAGTGTCACAAACACAGAACGCTCTCAACACTCACGCGTTCATCCTTCTGATGGCTACCGGGTTATAGTCAGGGAGGAGCTAAAGGAGCTACAGGAGAGAGAGAAGCGCAAGGAATCTGTGATCATTCGTGGCTTGGAGGCATCCTCCGCCTCAGACCTCGTGATTAAGTTCTCTGAACTGACACAACACCTGATGGGCACAACAGTTGAGATTTCTGAAGTGAGAGCCATCCCATCTCACCCAGACATTTACAGAGCCAAAATTACCAATGCGAGCAACAGGAAACTAGTGTTAGACAATGCTAAGAACCTCTGTGGAACTCGTTACGATAAGGTGTTTATCAAAAGGGACCTGACATATGCACAGAGGGGAGAACTGCGGGAGAGGAGGCTCAACAGACAAGCTCAGGAACATGCCAGCTCAGAGACAGTGCCAAAGTCAGTTGAACCTCCTCCTGCTCGCCCACAAGGTGGACAGATGCCCATCAGCAGGATGCCTGCACCAGTGGGAGGTCCGGGAAACTAAAAGTACAGTGTTCACAGACTAACGAATCACTGATTAGAGTGTGTAATGTTAATGTCAATGGCCTTTGTTCCAAGTTATCTTTACTAGCTAACTTCATCTCTCAGTCTAGAATAGATATTGTTGGTGTCACAGAAACTCACTTGACATCAGTGATTGCTACTTCTTTTGTCTCCATTCCAAACTATTGCCTATTGCGCTGTGATACTGAAGGGACCACATCCAAGCATGGTGTCTGTGTCTACATTCATAAAGATGTCAAAACAGATCAAGTGAGTGTTTTGTACAAAAATGCCTTAGCTTTTAGGATAATCCGGTCCAATACATATGTTGGCATTGTTTATCGCCCTCCCTCTTACTCTGCCGGGGAGAATCATGAACTGCTAATAGCTCTGCAAACATGGATGACAGGTAAAGAGATAGTATTGATGGGCGACTTTAACCTTCCAGGTATAGCTTGGCAGGAGGATGGCGCAGGACACGGCATCAACAGTACTGTCACGGAACGGTCCTATTTGGATATGTTTGACGGTTTTGGTCTTCAGCAGTGGGTCTCGGAACCAACATACCCTTCATCAGGAAACACACTTGACCTTGTTTTCTCCACAGAACCTGATTGTATTGCAAATGTTACAGTGGAGGCTCCACTACCAGTGTGTGATCACTGTCCTGTGGTGTTTGACTATGTTGTGGGTCTCACTGTTCCAGAAGCTGATTCTCATTCAGATCTTCGTATGTTATGGCATAAGGGGAACTATGATAGGTTAAATCAGATTCTAGCGGATGTTGACTGGGATTTCGAGCTTGCGCAGCGTAGTGCAAATGATTCATTTGACCGTCTCTGTGATATTGTCAAGGAGGTGTCAGAAGGTCTGATACCCCTGAAACCTCCGAGGCCGCCCCAGTCTAAACCACCGTGGCGCACGACCCCTCCAAATGCACTTGTGAGGGAACGCAGGAGGGCATGGCAGACATACAAGGTAAAGAGGTTAGAACATGGCCGTCGCTCCCCAGCTGCACTGCAGGCTTATGGAATATTCACCGACCTCAACAAGCAAGTTCGTAATTTCAGCACTCAGTCACAGGCTAGGTATGAACATTCATTGATTGAGAAGTGGAAAGATAATCCTAAGCTATTGCATGCATACATTCGTTCTAAGAAGTCTGTTCCAACCACTGTCGGTCCCTTGAGGCTGAATGATCACTCCGTCAGTTCAGATCCTCAATTAATGAGTGAATGTCTAGCACAAGCCTTCTGCTCTGTATACACTCAGGGGGAGCCAGTCAACCAAGCACCTCATCAGAGACATGATGGTCACTTGCAGGATATCCAACTGACTGTGGGAGATGTAAAGACTTTGCTCGCAGCCACGGATGGCAACTCAGCTATGGGTCCCGATGGATTACATCCTCTTGTACTCAAGAATTGTGCCGGTGCTTTGGCTAAGCCAATTCATGCTATATACTTTCGTTCCTTGAGGGAGGGCCAATTGCCAGAGGCATGGAAACATTCAGTGGTTATTCCAATCTTTAAGAAGGGGTTGCGACTCGATCCACTTAACTACCGCCCCGTGTCCCTAACATCCGTAACATGTAAAAGACTCGAACGTGTACTTTGCGATGTAATCTATGATTATCTCGATTCATCGTCATTGCTGTCGTCCCACCAGTTTGGATTCCGTCCTGGTCACTCTACGGCAGAACAGCTCTTGTTGGCTTATGAGGAGGTGTCAGGGGGAGTTGATGAGGGGAGGGCTGTGGACATGGTGTTGTTTGACTACAGTAAAGCATTCGACGTAGTACCTCACGCAGTTCTGATTAAGAAACTCAGTTACTTGGGCATAGCAGGAGAGGTGTTGAGTTGGATATCCTCCTTTCTTTCCAACAGAACGATGAGAGTCAGTGTAAGCAACAAACTCAGTAGCTCTAATCCTGTCACCAGCGGAGTCCCACAGGGCTCGGTGTTGGGGCCTTTGTTGTTTCTTGTCTATATCAACTTTGTCGCCTCCGGCCTCAGTTGCAAATACAAAATCTTTGCTGATGATTTAAAGATATATGCTTGCGGTAAAACACACAGAGACCTATCTGGTTTACACGAGCTAGAAAGACAGATTCAGACTGATATAAACACTCTGTCCAGCACTTCCAAGTCTTGGGGTCTTCGCCTGAATCCTAACAAATGCGTGGTGCTCCGGTTTTCTAGGAGACAGCATGCCTCGCCCCGTTACGTCTTAGATGGTAAAGAGTTACCTACTCCTAAGTCCCATACCGATCTCGGGGTCATCGTTGATGACTCACTGAAGTTCCACGACCACATATCATCTGTCACCCGCAAGGTCGCTGGTCTCGGGCACAGTTTCCTCAAATCTACTGTCTGTCGGTCTCGGGAATTCATGTTGTTCTTTCTTAAAACGCACATGAGACCTGTGCTTGAATATGCCTCGTGCGTTTGGCACACTGGTTACATTGAGGATGATCGGAGGCTCGAACGATTCCAAAGGTACTGGACCAAGCAAATAAGCATGCTCGAACATCTCGCATATAGTGACAGGCTGAGGGAGCTAGGTCTGTACTCGGTCAAGGGACGGCTCATGCGAGCAGATCTCATACAGTATTGGAAAATTTTCCACAGGAAAAGCTGCGTCCCCCCGGAGATCATGTTCCCTCAGCCCTTCACCCGTGTCACCAGGGGACACTTGTACAAGATTGGTGTGACGCATGTGAACACAGATGTGAGGAAAAGATCATTCTCAAAGAGATGTGTTAATGCATGGAATCGCCTACCAGAACATGTTGTTGATGCCCCTGATGTATCTGCTTTTAAGCGAGGGTTAGATGATGTGATACCGGACTTGCTATTTGATTATGTCTAGCCTTCTTGCCCTGTGTATATTTCATATACGTTTGCAAAATATTTGGTGCTAATGTGACATGTGAAACGCAATTAGTGTGAAATTAGGGTATTAGCGAGAACAAAAGGTACTAACACTCGATACTGGATCATGTATTACGATAGGTTAAATGGCGACACACATTTCCAGTTCATGGCTCACACACTGCAATACTCAAACATGGCTGGTCTTAAAACGGAACTGGCGTGTCTTTCGATATGGGTTCCTTTCTTTTCCTTGCCACTCCTTCCTGTGACTGTTTACTTGGTGAAGGGAACCAACCAGGTAAGTGAACCAGGTAAGTGCATTCAGTGCAAGATTGATTCATTATGAAGGAGAAGATTATAAGTAATGCAACACATCCAAAGCGGAAGAGAAAACAAAATGAAGCTGAACCCCCCAAGAAGAAAAGGAAGCATGGGCTGGCGGATGGAAAGAGTATTGGTATGTTGATAGAACTCCTTAAAGGGACCCTCCCACCTTCAAAAAAGTTAATGATTTGGCATGAAAGTGATGTCGCTCGGTTCAGAAAGAGCAAAAACGAATATCTACCAAATTTCATCGAAAAATATTCACCGGTTTTCAAGACATTAGACTTTTACTTTTGTTTACTTTTTGGGATCTCCGCTGTTCCTAGCGACTTTATTTCAAAGTGCGGCATTTGTTGCGCGCAAAGCAGCATATACCACCGCGTGCTACAAAACGTTTTAGTCAAACATTTAACGGACGTTCGAAAGCCTGATGACGTCATCATATTCCCGTAATGGTTAAGAGATAGGGACCGCGCTGGTCCCACCCTGCAAGTAAAGGGAAGAAATTTCTTGAACACCATAAAGCTGCGGGGGTTGCGACTAGGATAAATGGTGGTTTCTGAGCCTGGCCGCAAACTTGGCTATCTCAACTCAAAACTAATGTTAAGGTGGGAGGGTCCCTTTAACTTTCACTTAATATTTCATTGGTTTACTGGATGAGATGCATTTCATGACCCTTGCATTCACCCTGTAACTCAGAAACCATGGTATTGGTAAGGCGGATGTAGCACAAGCTGCCATATGTGATCAGTGGCGCGGGAACTGGGGGGGGGGGGGGGCTAGCAGGGGCAGGGGCTGAGCCCCTCCAACTTTTTGGCTGGGGGGCTTGTAATGTATTTGAGCCCCCCCACCCCCCCAGCTGGAGGAATCAAAATCGGAAATCTACCATTTACCAACATGATTTCATAGACTCATACATAGGCATGGTAACTGGGGGAGGGGGCAGTGGGGGAAGCTTGCCCCCACAGCTCTGCGGCAGTGGGGGCGGTGCCCGTGCCCCACAACTTTTCATGAGGCCAGGAACTGTTGGGCAGCTTGTCCTCCCCAAATTAGGGATTTTGGGTCACAAAGTAAGAAAGCATGTAAGTGAAAAATCCACCTCTTTCACTGGCTCGGCGACTCCTTTGGCAGATTAAAACCTTTATTCCAGGCTGCCAAAACGGTAGTTCTTCACTCAGCTGAGACGGAATCCTCACTTTTTTGCAAATATTTTCTTTTTTTTCATTGAAAAGGCCAAGGTCTGAAAAATAAGTGGCCTAAAACCGGTGAGAAAACTAGATTTAGAGGTACCGGTATTGGTAACCCTGGCGTCACCGGTAGCGTCTTCGTTCAAGGTTAAGGTTTCCTGTATTAGGCCACCGTGCCAGGCCGAAGCATGCTGTGACGTCACTGGGTAAGAGAAGATAACGTAAAGAACGACTCAGGCAGACTCAAACCGACCTGGCACACTCAAACTGACTCGACCGACTCAAACTGATTCAGATCGACTCAGACTGACTCAAACTAACTCAGACCGACTCAACCGACTCAAATCGATTCCGATCGACTCAGACAGACTCAGGCAGACTCAGACCGATTCAGATCGACTCAGACCGACTCAGATAGACTCAGAACGACTGAAATTGACCCAGAATGACTCAACCGACTCAAATCGTTCCGATCGACTCAGACAGACTCAGAACGACTCAGACAGACTCAGACAGACTCAAACCGACTCAGGCAGACTCAGACCGACTCAGATAGACTCAGAAGACTCAAACTGACTCAGACCAACTCAACCGACTCAAATCGATTCCGATAGACTCAGACAGACTCAGGCAGACTCAAACCGGCTCAGGCAGACTCAAACCGACTCAGGCAGACCCAAACCGACTCAGGCAGACTCAGACCGATTCAGATCGACTCAGATAGACCCAGAACGACTCAAACTGACTCAGACCGACTCAACCGGCTCATCGATTCCGATAGACTCCGACAAACTCAGAACGACTCAGACAGCCTCAGACAGGCTCAAACCGACTCAGGCACACTCAAACTGACTCGACTGACTCAAACCGATTCAGGTCTGATGATTCAGGTCAAACCGATGGGTTTGTCTGAGTCGTTCTAAATCGGTTTGAGTCGGTGGAGTCGGTTTGAGTCTGCCTGAGTCTGTCTGAGTCGATCGGAATCGATTTGAGTCGGTTGATTTGGTCTGAGTCAGTTTGAGTTGTTCTGAGTCTAGCTGAGTCAGTCTGAGTCGATCTGAATCGGTTTGAGTCGGTCGAGTCAGTTTGAGTCTGCCTGAGTCTGTTTGAATCGTTCCGAGTCTGTCCGAGTCGATCGGAATCGATTTGAGTCGGTTAAGTTGATCTGAGTCAGTTTGAGTCGTTCTGAGTCTATCTGAGTCGGTCTGAGTCGATCTGAATCGGTTTGAGTCGTTCGAGTCAGTTTGAGTCTGCCTGAGTCGGTTTGAGTCGTTCTAAGTCTGTCTAAGTCGATCGGAATCGATTTGAGTCGGTAGAGTCGGTCTGAGTCAGTCTGAGTCGATCTGAATCGGTCTGAGTCTGCCTGAGTCGCTCTGAGTCGTTCAGAGTCTGTCTGAGTCGATCGGAATTGATTTGAGTCGATCGGAATTGATTTGAGTCGATCGGAATCGATTTGAGTCGGTTGAGTCAGTCTGAGTTAGTTTGAGTCATTCTGAGTCGATCTGAATTGGTTTGAGTCGGTCGAGTGAGCTTGAGTCTGCCTGCGTCGGTTTGAGTCTGCCTGAGTCGTTTTGAGTCTGTCCGAGTCGATCAGAATAGAGTCGGTGAATCGTTCTGAGTCAGTCTGAGTCGATCTGAATCGGTTTGAGTCTGTCGAGTCAGTTTGAGTCTGCCTGAGTCGGTCTGAGTCTGCCTGAGTCGGTCTGAGTCTGTGTCTCAGTCGATACTGATAGCGTGGTACGTTACCTTCTCTTCCAGTGACGTCACAGCATGCTTCGGCCTGGCACGGCGGCCTAATACAGGAAAACTTAACCTTGAACGAAAACATTACCGGTGACGCCAGGGTTACCGATACCGGATGTTTAGCCCCCTTCCAACCGGAGGGGGTCAACCATGCTTACTGGTTAAATCGTGCTCCATAAGTCATATACTTTTGACGAAGATCTGTATTTAATTATTTCCCGCAGCATCCTCTGGTGAAAAAAGCATGCCAGTACAAGATCCCTCAAAGGACTTCGCTGAAGACCTCGCCACCTTGAATTCAGATGAGAAGCTGCCTAACACTCGCATAAAAGAGGTAAGAATCCCTACATAAAACGGTCTTAATGTCTTTTGCATTGGCCATCCGCATGAAAATTTGTTTGGAATGCACATTTACCTTCCTCATGAGTGTTCGATTGTCATGAATGTAGGGCATGCAAGGCATGTCAGGTATATATGTGAGTAGGTATATGACTCGTAAAACCACTCCTTCCTACTTGTGACACATGCATAACTATGCGTAATGCATAACGTACGCATAACACATGCGTAACCAGTGTTGGGATGTCCATGTTCAATCCCAGTCCCGGAGAATAAAATCTGCCCGGAGAGCAGCGGCTGGTCAGATTTTATACTCATTGGCCGTAACCTCGTTTGCTGGGCTGCATTATACTGTTATGTATACCGGGCTGCATTTTTATCATAGAGGATGAATAACCTGGAAAATTGCAGGCCTTATAGCATACGTTTGTGAAGAACCAAACCATTTGAACCTGCCTGGGACCTGAAAAGGCCTTATTTCCAACACTGGGAGTCGTAACCCCGCCCTCCTCTCTACCCCCCAAAGGTATACGACTCTCTCACCTCGCGTCTGCTGCGTCTGGACGGGAGCGCTGTCAGCCAGTCGGCCGCCGCGGCGGTAGCCCGTGCTGTCCTCACCTCACAAGACGGCCGACAGCTATGGCGTGTCCTCAACACCTCCGCCACGTCCGGCCAGGCTGCCTCGGCTCTGCGTCTTCTGAGCGCGGCTGTGGCCTGTGGCGGAGCGCCAGCCAGGACGGTGCTGGCGGAGTTTCAGTTCAGCCACGGGAGGTTGCCTCAGGTGGCAGCGGTGAAGAATTTGGCGTCGGAGACGGATGTGCGGACGGAGTTTGTGACGTTTGTGCTGGCGTTCCTGGTCGGCGCTGATCGACTTCTAGTGCAGGTGGGAGAGGGGGAAGTGGGATGGAAGGGATTGGTGGGAGAGGGAGGAGCCTGGGACGAAAGGGGTTATTGGGACACTGGTGGGCGTGGATCGACTCCTAGTGCAGGTGGGATGGAGGGGGGGGGGACTGAAGGGATTGATAGGATTAACTGGTGGGAGCAGGTATTGGCTATTCGTGTAGATTGAAGGATCTTCTTAGGAGGCGGGTTGGGGATACTGATGCTCTTGAAATACTGCTGATATTGTCTGGGTGAGGCTGATAAATATTAATTTTGGTTGATGTAAGGGGAAATTACTAGACTGACGGAAGTTGTATACTTTGTGAAGTAAAAAGCATGACTAGAAACCCCGTCTTCGAAGCATCCTCACGTGCCCTGTGACCCTGACAAGTCTGTGTCCCCCTCTCCAGGCGATCCTGGACAAGGTGACGCCGTTGATGCTGGTTCTCTCCGGCCTGAACACGGACCGCGCGTCCACCATCCACTTTGTACTGAGCACCTTCAAACAGGCCATCCTGGAGAACAGCAAGATCGCCAAAAAGGATAAGGTACGAGGGTTTGTGGGTGTGTAATTGGAAAGCATAGCTTCGGGCTTAACAACATGATATGATTAAGATTTGACCGTAGTCTGTTCTTTTATATATTTTTAGCCAAGCGAGACATTTCTGTCTTTAGTCAGTAACAACGATTTCATCAAAATTGTATGCTGCATCTGAAATTATGGATATAAGTCGCTTTTGATTAGAATGACGGAATAGTTTCCATATTTGATGCTCTTTTGTGTCCACCTAATTAATAGTGTAATCTTAGCATGCTTACTTTGATCGGGACCAGCGTGTTTTTCGCACGTAATGATTTTCCGCTAAATAACCGCCAGCAGCAAGTTAATGATGGCCGTTTGATTACATAAATGATTGTTGTTTTTTTCTGGCAGCTCCGTCTGTTCAACTCGAGAAACCTGTCTCCGCTGCTGCAGCTGTATAAATGGAGGGGGCATCAGCTTACCTGGAAATCGCGCACAAACAGGTACAGGTTTTACCGTGATCGTTGCTGAAAAATAAGAAAAGTTTCACCTCAAAGCGCGAAATAAGGTAGAAAAAAATCTGGAGAAGATGAACAAATATTCACGAAACTTTCTGGCAGCGGCACTCAGCATGAATCCCTGTTTTGCTTTTCATAACGTTAAAATAAATGATAGTATGTATGTATGTGTCGGCTTTGTGTGTTTTGAAGTAAAAACGATTTTCTGCTATTAGTCGTGTCATAGATAACAGTAGAACGGTAGTAGAACAGTGGATAACAGCTGTACTTCTACTATTATCTACGGTTGTCGGTTGTGTCATTGTTTCATGGTGAAAGTATTTAATCAGTAACATTTTCCCTCCCGGTCAGGTACAAGAAGAAAAAGAAGTCCGGCGTCGCTGCTGATGAGGACGAAGAGGAGGGCGCCAACCCCGCCGACCCCGAGGAGTTACTGCAGGTGCGGGAGAACGTGCATCAGTTCCTGAGCATCCTCTGCACGTCACACAAGGCCGGCATCGTCTTCAAGGATGGTACGTCGTTCACGTCAACATCGGGATATTACGGGCTGCAGTAGTTAGTTACTTTGTCAGTTAGTGTGGAAATAGAAACGAAGTACATTCTTACGAACGGACTCGCCGGTTGACTTGCAACGTGCATCCGCTGACCGTGTATCCGTGGTATAATGCCTTGCTAGCAAGTTTGATTGTTATCAGTGTCAGTAGTGCGTTTTGTGTCAATGATGCCATAACTCTCATCGGCGACACCTATTGTATCGTTAGCTTGGCTTTAAAAATCATGCTTTTATCGTGGCATAATTGATCAGGCGTATGACTAACGTATGACTTTTATATAAGAGCTGCCGTCATACCACAAAGATATGTTTTGCATCAACAAAAATGGAAGTCTGTCCCTGGAGGACTGCCGTGACCAATTCAGATTAGCTGGCCTAAGGTGCTCGTAACAATCCACCAATTCAGCCTGAACAACGGTACCGCGCTGAGATGCTGACGCGATACCTCCACGGTCTTTCAGCGTCCCTTGGAACGTCGGGCTCCAACTGTAATCCCGTGCTCCTCGAGGTGCTAAAGAACCTCAGTCGGCCCTGGAGGGACGAGCTGACCGCAGGTACTTAGCATGCGCGGAGTGAGCGAGATTTACAGCTCGGGTATTTGGCAGAGCATTCGGAGAGCTTGCAACCTTCTTATACCTAAATTTGACAATGATGTGTTGTATTGTAGTTTAGGGGCTGCTATATAAAGCTCTGTTAGCTGGTCTGCTCTCCGATAGTCATGAATTGCTGAAGAATAATGACTGAATTGGTAAAGACTATACTCTGTTCCATATCAAGCTTGCAGTCGGAGTTTCTTCAACATATCGCTCCTCCGCTCAAGAATTTGCGTCTTATAATGTAAGAGCTGTATACACAGAAATCACGCACTGCTTTCAGCAGGGCACTTCGGCTGCAAGCTTGAAACGGAACAGAGTATAGTGTGCAATCCGTCGTTCTTTCTTTTTATTCGCCGTGGTATAACAGTTTTAGAATTGAGGACAATAACTATATATCAGGTTTCTAGCGTGTCTGAGTGTCCTTGACCCCTTCTCACACCGCTCTACCCCCCCTCTCTCTCTCTCTCCCCTCTCTCCCCTCTCTCTCTCTCTCTCTCCCTCTCTCTCTCTCTCTCTCCCACAGAGCTGGTAATTTCCACTCTCTCGGCGTGTCCGGACCTCTGTCGGCACTACCTGCCCTCTCTCTCCTCCGCGCTCTGCCCGGCGCGGCCGTCGGCCGAGTGGCGTGCCGCTGTTGCCATGGTGACGCGCGCGGTGGCGTCCGTACAGCTGACTATGCCCTCGGGCGATGCGCGGCTGATGCCTGAAGCGGTGTGTCGGGTGGCCGCTGCCTGCTACTATCCGCCCCCTGTGCAGGAGCTGATCAGGTAAGGGTTGGCTGTATTTTTTTCATCGAGGGTTTGGAACGCACAGGTTGAACGAAGATAGACGGATGAGTGATGGCCTAGGGTGGGCATTGTGATGATCTCTTAATGCTAGTGAGTTTTTGCCAGAAACTTGTCAACTATTGGCTTGCTTTACCAAGGTGCTCTGCTTTTGGTATGCTTTTTTATCTATTAAGAACTGTTTATTTGGTATCTGTATTCAGGATTGACTGATAGATGTAATTCCTTTTTTCTCTTGTATTCGCTAAGTTTTTAGTAAGATATGCTCATATTACACCTGTCCTAATTCAGGTTTTGCCGGATGTTTTTTTTTTCAGGGACGGTATCGGACACGAGGATGCGGCGGTCCGCGCCGACTGTCTGCGGCTGCTGCTCGCAGTTACTGATCAGGTGAGTTGGTGAGCGTTTGTGAGCTCCTGTGGTGAGGTATTGGTGAGCATTGGTGAGCTCGACCTGTGGTGAGATGGCGGTGAGCGTTGGTAAGCTGCATGCGATTGTTAATGCTGAAACTGCGCCTTGGTCTCTCTGCCGTGAGGTAAAAGTCCTATTGAATGGCTACTTATTGATAAAAAAATCCCCGATTGCATTTTGAATGGGGATGTTCAGTTTTCGAGTGGTTGGATTTATGGCCTACCGCATATGAGAACTTAGTTTGTCACGTCTGGCTTTTGGTAGTCTGTGGTCACCAGTCTAACTAATAGCTGCATTTCCCACCGACAGGTGGCAGCCCTGCAGACCCAGCTGGCCAACTCAGTCGAGTACGGCGCTATGGCTCGCGCGGCCCTCTCAAGCGACATCACCCGGTACCTACCGGCTCCCAATCAGCTGACTACGCTCTGGAGCCAGCTGACTGCCTCCGAGGCACCTCCTGCAGCGGAGGTGGCTCTTCTGGCGCGAGTGCTGATTGGTTGTCAGAGAGTTGCGTCACAGGAGTGGCGGCTGCAGCCGATGCTGCTCGGACAGCTGCAGGGGAAGCTGGCGGAGCTGCAGCTGCCCGAGGACGAGCTGCAGCTGCTGAGGGACCAGCTGCAACAGCTGACAGAGGGCAGACAGGTTAGCTGCCAGGCTGGGTCCATTATAGTTTCTATCATTATAGCTTATAGCTTTATTACCATTATAGCTTTGGGTTATAGTTTCTATCTGTAACCTCTATATAGTGGAAAGTGTTGGTTTTTGCTAGAGGTGTAGCATACAAATATCGTGTGGCATTTGAGATACTATATTTTGTACTCGCGTGCAGTTGACCTTACCATCTATATTGGTGGTATTTGGCGATTCTGCCTTCAGTTACTGTTTGTATACTGGGGTCTCCATCCCGACTTATATACTGTAAGTCGACTCTTGTATGCAATGTCGTCTCGACTTGCACTATGACTTTTTTGTAGGGGAACACTGGACATTTGGATGATTGGATCCTGATATACATACTAGCTTAAACTGAAGCAGAATTCGTCTGGATAATTAACTGTTTGCTGTTGTCTTTTTTTCAGTATGTCGTGCCGGTGGACCGGTGTCTGGTGCCCTCCGATGTACCGAGAATCCTGGCAGAGATCCGAGGAGAACATTTCGTCGAGACCACCGACGACACGACAGAGGCGGCGGAGAACCCTGAGGGGGTCAAGTTGGAACCTAAAGACACGACCGAGAAATCCGAGGAGAAAATGAAAGATGAAGCTCTTCCAACGCTGAGTGGAGCGTCGAAGCAGCAGCGATTTGAGTCGTTTGTTGCCATGACAACGAAACTTCTACGAACAACTCCACCGCCGCTGTCGAAACTACGCTCACTTGTGGCTCAGCTGACTGAGGCATTAAATGACGTCACAACTGCCTCCACCAATAACAAGAAGAGAGCTTCAAGTGAAGGCACGGATGACGCCTCAACTACACCCACAAAACGGAGTAAGAAGAGTAAATCGAAGACATCGGCTGTGAAGGAAGAGCCTGAGGAAAACACAGATGACGCCACTGGCACAGAGCTGAGCCGGCCGGCCGGCTGGGTCGACTGGGTGAAGCTGGTGCTGAAGAAGAGCCTGCGGCAGCCGGAGGTGGGGGAGGCGGTGCTGGAGAGCCTGACGCTGCTGTGTGAGAAGGGCCTGTTCCCGAGCAGTGGAGGAGCGCCTACACAGACTGAGGTGAGCGGGAGGCGTGCTGACAGTTCGGGGAGGCCGGGTTCGTACTCTATTTTCAAGCATGTAAATGAAAAGATATTGGGATACTTTATACAGCTTAATGATTTTCCTGGCGTGTAAATCAAAAGATCTATTTCCATTGGCCGCCTTCATGAGCCACAAACTAGTTAGCTGCTCGCTATTTTTACATACTTTCTCAGATTCTGCACTCTCAAGACCGCTTGGATCCCCAGTTTTCAATGTTTGGCTCTGTAGCTCACCCCACGCTGCCTCACGCTCACATTTTCTCTGCCGCAGCCTCTGGACAACTCCGTCAGCTGTGAGCTACTCTACGAACTCCTGCTGAGTCATTCCGCCTTCCTGGAGCGAGTCCTGGACCCGGCTGAGTCAGAGCTCGCCCTCCGTGACTCGCTACTCCGACTCATGCTGGCGGTGGCCAACAGAAGTCAGCACGTGTGCCGTGCCTCGCATGTGGCTCTCCTGTTGGCGGCATACGGAGCGACAATGTCTGAGACGGATCAGACCATCCTGTTGGTGAGTGCTTTTAAATGGAGGAGAAGCTAATTGGTGGGATTGTGACTTGTGAGTTTGGTGGAAATGGCTCTTGGAGTCTTATTCATGAGCTATAAATTTTGTACCTTTTAGCGAAGGAAAGGCCAGTACTTTCACTTGTAAGCTAATGGCCTAAAGGCCAATGCACGTCGCTTTCACCTATAATAACTTCCTTGCTATTTGTTCCTATCCTAGCATGAGTTTGAGTGGCAGTTGGCACATAGGCATAGACCGCCAGCGCTTCTCAAATCACGCTCACATCGCATGCACCTCTGTTCGTGCGATTGACGCGAACGATAAGCGATGTCCAATGCAAATGAATAAACTCTCACATGCGATTTCTTATCGCCGAACGAGTCCATTCCAGCCCTAACGGCAATGTGTCGACCGTTTCAGTTGATAAGCCGTTACGAGCTGGCGGACGTATCGCTGCAGGCTTATCAGCCGATGGTGTGGGGCTCGGCGGCTCTAAACTTCTACAACCCAACTCAGGTGAGGACGCGGGGGCTGAGGACGCGGTGCTGGGTTGGGAAGGAGGGATTCATTCAGAGGAAGCTGTTGAGAGACCGTGGGGGATGAGGAAGCCAGTTAGCAAGAGCTTTAGTGGCCGAGGTAGCCTAGGAGAGAAGTTTGTTCCGCAGTTTTGTTTGGGCTTACTTGCGCACAAACTCAGTGTTTGGTCATCAGTGGTTTGTATTTTTTAATATCAGAATTAAATTGTTGGCCCCCTTTGTTTCAGTATTTTGTATAACTATTCTATAATTTGTTCCTGCTATTTTGTGAGATTTCGACATCATTGTCTGATATTTTCCGTGCTCCATTTCTGTGCCGGTCAGGGCGGAGGGCACAGTCTGAAGAGCCAGCCCTCGGCTGATGACGTCATCGGCCTGCTGGACTCGGACAAAATGTCCGCCACCTGCCGACGGCTGCCGCTCAAAATCACCCTCAAGGTGATAACAGACTCATAGTCATAATCGATTCATGCGTACCGAGTGTGGCTTGGCCTCAGCCTTACTCATGATTTTTTGATGTGGAATGATTGACATTTTTTAACTTGCGCAGTGGAAGGGTTGCGACTTGCGAGTACTACGCCCAGTGGAAGGGGGGGGGGCGGATGTCGCCCCCCCCCTAAGATCTCAGCTCCCACTGGAGCTAGAAAGACGAAATTTGAAGGGTAGGTGGGGGCCATGGGGAACTCTGTTGTGTGTGAATTTCACGACCCTAGGTCAATATCTTCAAGGTCAAATGAGGTCAAATGTGGTCAAATCTGCCATATTAGCGACTTTTTTGCGTTTACACGCCGATAACTCAAAAAGTTACCGGCCGAATTTTTAACCTTTCACTATACGAAAGAGCAAACATTTGTGAGTATGTATGGTGAATTTCTAGATAATCCAACAATAAATATGGCAATTAGAAGCCTGCTAAGGGTAAGATGTCGCCGGCTGAAGCGGCGTCGGCCGCCGCGGGAAACGCGGCAATCACAATTTTGTGTTTACACACTCATAACTCAAGTTGTTACCGGCCGATTTTCAAAATTCTTTGACCATATGATTGCCTGTACATTTCTCAGTCTTTTCACCGAATTTGACGCGAATCTAATATAATCAGCGATAAGGAGCGCGATGTAAAGACGGAACCGTCCCGCCCCGGCACAGTCTACAATTCAGGCGGCGCGTAACGGCTAGCGCCGGCCGCCGCGGTGGCAGGATGTTTGACTTAACACCGCTATTAGTAGAAAAGTTGTGAACCGATTTACCTATTTCTTGCACGGGAGGATTTGCAATTCGATTCTGGACAGGTAGCCGAAATTTCACATTGATATTATGCTTGCGGCGCGAGTTATTGGCGAAAAACAGGAGGGGTGGGCGAAATCCGCCCCCCCCCCCTTCCACTGCGCGTGTTAATGTGGTGGTTATGTCAAATTTGTTTACAGATCCCAGGAAACTGCATGTATGTTCGTGGGATTGCCCAACACTCAACAGATTCTTATGCGACCTACCACTCGTTAGCGACGTCTACTATATCGTCAATGATCGCGGCTAGTGTTTACAGAAGTGTTTTACACCATGATGATATACGCCTCCCCTCAACTTCCATATCTTTCACGCACTCCCCTGTAACACTCCCCAAACTATATTTCAGCCTGTGCGCGTGGCTCCCGACCCGGGCGTGTACGACGTTCGCTTCCTGGCACCTCTGCTGCTTCGTCTGACAGCCCCGGAACAGCAGGGCGAGCCGCTGAAACTAGTGTCGGCCGGGGCGCTAGGTGTCGCCCTCTGTCTGCTCAGCTGTAGACAGGTGGCGCTGCGGTCGGCCGGATGGACCACCCTGGCGAGACTGTATCAGCAGCTGCAGGCTAGCAGGCATCAGAGGTGGGTACTGGAGTGATAGAGAGGGGAGAGAGAGAGAAAAAAAAATAGAAGGGAGGGACGAGTTGGAACATGCTTTAACAATGCTTAGGGTATTTTTGGTATTGATTTGGTAGACAGGCAGTCATGAAAGACGAATGTGATCCTTGAAGTAACTTCCCTAACTTCCAACATAGTGTTTTCTAGTTAACGAGCGAAATGCTTGTGCACGTAGCGCCCAGACTGCGGCCAGCGGCGCGGGGTCCGCCGGTAATAACGGAACGTCCGAGGCCGACCGGCCCGTTCCGTTATTGGAGAGTGCTAGTGGTGAAATTACATTTTTTTTCTTAAAAAAGGCTTTGTTAATAGAAAATAAGATTAAAATATTTGCTTAGAAAATTTTAAAAATACAAATAACAATTATGTTAATACATATTGTACATTTCTTATTTAATATTTTATTATTTTGCTCCTCTATAAACGCAACCCGGCGTGCGCCATTCCGGATTCCCGTTGGTGTTAGAGGCATTTATCTGATCGTCGTTGTGATATTGCGCTTATTCAGGCTATTATACAGTATCGTAGCTACCTGAACTACGGTTCTTCGAGTCTGAAATGGGAAAAAGTCGGGCGAAGCACAGTCTGCGAGTTCTCCATATCGGTAAGAACTTATCTTGAATGTGCGCCATGTTTGTGCCATCTTGATGACTGTGGTCAATTCATGTGGATTTGTATGTGAATTGGTAAATTAATCCTAGTTTTTTTGTATCATCTTAGCTTTGTTGAAAATATAGCACAGTAAAATTTAGATCATACCTGGCAAATGCTGCAAATTTAAAGCAAATTAATCCATAGTTTGCCTCAGCAGTTTCGTAGTTTCTGTAACGCATGTGTCACCAATAGCTGAATGTGGACTAGTATGCTTAAATGATTATTTGTAAGTGTATATAGCCTCACCTTACCTAACCAAGCTGAATCTCACTTTAACAAACCTAACCTAAGCTGCAACCAGGGCATATTTTATTTTTCAATCTACTTACCTACTGCGTCCCATTTTGGGACGCAGGCCTAAGATTTTGAGACGTAGGCCCTGTTGATTTTAGCCCACCACGTCTCAAAGATATAACTGTTTTAAACATAAACAAAAAGTTAATGTTTTGCAACATTGCAAGTTCACTAAATAGTGGCCTTTTGACCATCACAAGGTCCCTCCGAACAGCACAAGGGCCCTTTTACCACCTCATGAGAATTATATGGCCACTCTGGAGAGGCCCCCTGGCCTTTGTGTTGAAAATCTTATTTTACTTCTATTTTACTTATGAAAGCAAAGTTTAGGGTGCTCTAAAAAAATAGTGGACAAAATTAGGAGCCTTTCCGTTTTTGGGGTTACGTTGGGTCTATCAACAAAGTCACGGGCCCTCTGCCCAGCTTTGTGACACAGTGCAGATTTGTTTAAATATACCCTGCCTGTAACCTACCTACCTACCTACCTAGCTAATACCGGCTTGCTCCGTGCATGGTGGTGCCCGCACTAGATACCATAACACTAGGTACCACTATGCAGCTTTGCTAGGGCTACATAAGGTTCTAAAACTGTCCATTACATTTTGGCTGTTGAACTTATATTGTTGTTTAACTCATCAGAAGATCAACAACTTGAACACATTTGTATTTGCATGATATTGAATTAACATGATGTACTTCCGAGTGCTTATCAATGTTTCAGCACAACACTCCAGTGTGCTGCACTCACCTTGGAAAATGTCTTATGTCAGCCCAAAATCTAATCTAAAATCCACTGTCTACAAATTACTAGGATTGTATAAAAATGTCATTTCTGATTTCATGAAATGTTCTTCTTGTCTATCTCATATTTTGTAGCATTAACAATTGACAACATGTTGAAATAGCGAGCTGTATCCCACCTTGTTCAAGCATACACTATGATAAATAATGAAGTCATGTTGGGTGCTGATTGCCAATATGGTCCTCATTTGTGGCACATATAACCAGGGTTGTGCTCGGCTCAAATTTTTCGGGCTGACTCGACTCTGACTCATTGATAACCTAGGTGACTCAACTCTGACTTGACTCACCACTGAAATTTTATTGGTTGCCTCAAATCTGACTCAACTCAAATTCCAAATTTCCCAGCCTGACTCAACTCTTACTCAACTCATTTGAGTCAGAATGAGTCGGATTTGAGTCAAATATGACTCATGACTCATCACATTTTGCCTAATTTCGCCAAAAGTTGTTGACCGGGAGGGGGTGGGGGTGCGGTCGAATGTGGCTGGAGGTTTGTTCTCTCCATATAAAGCTTCAGATAAAGTTGAAATATTAGCGTTTTCTCTTCGGCAGAATCAGTGACTCTAAAGAGTATCCAGTTGACTCAACTCTGACTCTAATGACCATCAGCGTGACTCGACTCTGACTCGACTCAAATCAGTGTCCCAAAATTTATTTTGGTCCTGGGTGTCAGAGTGGAAAATTCAACCTCCAAAATGATGAAGAGAGTGCAAAATTCAGGTGTGAAAAACCCGACATTAACATGCTTACTCATGAATTGTACATGCGTCAAGAATTGTAGGTATGTTTCTCGGCAGGTGAGCGTGGGACAAACTTAGATATTTAATGTGAATTGGGAGTGATAATCCTGCTAATTAATTTATATTAAAAGTAACGTTTCAGGGCTGTTTTAGGAGTGGAAAATTGGCTCCAAATGTTTCGCATCGGAGGGGAAAATTGCGGCCGTTTTGGGTGTCAGTTCTCACCCAGATCGGCAAATTTTGGGACACTGACTCAAAGCCTTGATTTTTACGGCTGACTCAACTCGACTCGACTCATTTGAGTCAGAGTCGAGTCAAATTTGACTCATGACTCATGAGTCGAGCACAACCCTGCATACAACAATCAACATGTTGCGTGGTGCAGCATTTTTTTTTTCCAGATCGGGTAAACTGCTGCCTGAATTCCATGAATACTCTCCCACATACATATAGTAAATTTGTAATACTACAATATCTATTTACCAAATATTGAACACCCTGGACACTTTCCTGCTCAAAATTGTGTGAATGCTCGTCCAAGTTTTACAGAATTGCCATAGTTTCTACCATAGCCCAGTTATCATTTTCATTCTTCCTTGGTGTTTGGTATAGTTGGTCGGCTTTTTGTGATAATCGAACAACAACTTGTTCTTGACGCAAATTTATTTTCCGCAGGTGGTGAGCACCTGACGATTCTCCGGAGGCTGGCTGCCCGCGCTGCAAAGACCACAAAGAGGGACCACTTCACAGTACAGCAAGTGTGCACTGCTCCGCAAGTCGCCCTGTTCAAGGAGCACAAAGCTGTGTTTGAAGGCCTGATAAAGGACTCGTGCACGGTAAAAGACGGTAACCTCGTCGTGTTTGCGGAGTCAGTGACTCTGAGTGTGCGGAAGAAGCCTAGCGTGGACTTGTACACGGTGACGGCAAAAATCCACGTGCGCCGTGACCTAAACATTTAGCTCAAGATGTTCCAGCTTGGTGTGCCGCTGGGTGAGGTCGTTGAGTTTTTGAACGTTGGTAGACGCCGACATGTTGTGATAGAAGAGGCATCGATTGAGCAGTTTTTAAAAGAAAAGGTAGCAGCATCTCTTCCAGCATCAGCAAAGGTAGACATCCAGAATGTGAAATCCATCTGTCAGTATCTTAGGAGGCTGACAAAACGTGCTACTGCGGGATCAAAACAAGTCGAGCAGCTGCAAGCAAAAGTGGCAAAGGCGCCTCCCATCAAGGTTCAGTACTTTGTTGGTGATGAATCGATCAAGGCGTTTGTGGACTGCCTGCAAATGAACATTCGCCGCCTGGAAAGCAGCCAATCCAAGAAGAAGTCCAAGAAGAAGAGTAAGCCGCCAAAAGCGCCAGGAAAAAGCCCACGGAACATCCGGAGGATGAAGAGCATGGTGCTGAAAGAGTTGAAGGAAAAGACAGGACAGGAGCATGTTCTGGTGTCTAAGGAGTCTCCAAGGAAGACCGTCACCAGGCTTGATCAGGCGGGAGTCAGCCTCAGAAAGTACCGCCAACTGAAGCTGTCCAACCAACCATCCGAGAAAAAGCTGACAACGGCCAGGAACACTCTAAATGAGCATGCCACCGACGTGGGCATGCTCCTGAAGAATCTCCTGTCGAAATGTCGGTGCGACGGGCCTGCCCGTGTGAAGGTGTCAGTGGACGGACATAACCCGTCGCGCAACATTAGCGCAGTGACATTCTCGCTGTCCCTGGTGTGCGAGAGGGATACACAAAGCTCCAAGTACATCGTGCCTGTTATCAGTCTCCCCGGTGCAGAGACCTACGAGCTGGTGAGAGACTCGAGCGCCTGGGAGCAAATTGAGCGTGAGCTCAATGCAGTGATTGATGTAGGGGGTCGCCACGTGAATGTGGAGTACTATCTGTGCGCGGACTTGAAGTCCATTCTGCTGTACCTAGGGTACAAGAGTGCTAATGGTAGAGACGTGTGCATTTATTGCAGCTGCAATAAGGGCAGGTGGGGTGCGTGCTGTGCGGACGGGAAGTGCCAGGCGAGGTTCCGTCAGGCACCAGATGGTTCGATCGCGTTGCCTGCACTGCGACCCAGTGACCCGGGTTACAAGCAGCCGCCGCTTGTGGACATTACGAGATATAAGTTTGTGATCATTGACATTCTGCACTTGTACTTACGTGTAACTGATCAGCTGTTCGTGCGCTGCTGTAACTTTATGGATAAGCGACAGATCGGTGAATTCCTAGCCGTGTGTCAGCACCATAAGTTAAGCGCGTTCCATCTTCGCGATGAGAACGGAAAGCTGAGATTTTCAAATCTGGATAAGTCCAAGAGAGAGAAGATGATGGAAGCCGTCTTCCTGAAAGAGGCAGTGCTACGCACGCTGATGCCACCGTCTAGGGCAGATCGGGTGATTGCTGTCGTGGAGAAGTTCCAGCAGGTGTGGAAGCTCATCAACTCCGACGCACCCAACCTCGAGCAGCTGCAAGCATCGGTAGTGGCCTTCACAAAGCAGTTTCGGAAGTCGTTTGCCTCAGACGAGCTTCCAAACTATGTGCACATGATGTGCCATATACCACTGCTGATCGAACATTTTGGATCGCTACGAGCGTTCCAGCAGCAGCGAGTGGAGGCGCTGAACCACGCCATAAACGTCAGGGTGAGGAGCGTCACCAGGCCGGGTGCCATCCAGATGCAGCAAGCCGTTCAGGCGGTGAACAGATCATTGTGGTATGTGTGAGTGTGTGGAATGATGCGGAGAAAACGGTGCTGACTGATGTGAACTGATGTTTCGGCCTAGGTGAAAACGCCAGTGATTTAACTGTGTGTATTGTAATGTGTGCTGCGTTCATCAAGAGCGCTGATGTTTCGTGGTTTGTATTGTAATGTATGTAAATAACTGTATCTAGTAGTACGTCGGTCCTTTAGTATGCAAGGCGTGCAGTGCTGCTGAGGAGATGAGATTGATCGTGAACCGGTGTTCGATTTTAGGTGAAGACCCGCATGTTTTTACCTTCGTGTTGTACTGTAGTTTAATAACTGTATTAACCCTTGCCTGGAATGATATGCGATTTCATAAGGCACGCGTAATGTACGAAATATGTGCACGCCCATTTGCCGTATATTGTTTGGTTGCTCGATTTGTCTTTTGTCTACGCATCAACATCGTTGTCAAGAGCGTTCTGGAGGGCGCTCGCGATGCTAAGTTGAAGTTCTACGATTCATGATGTGACTAGCAACCGCTTGTTTAGTTTTCTCATATTTGTATCTGCTCTGTTTGCAAGTAAACTGCACCTGCAATGCATGTAAGCAAACTGTGTGTTCCTACCTGGTTTGTAAATATACTATTGAGGTTCCCAATACTCGCTGATTTCCTTGTGCGTGGGGAGGGGGAGAGGACGTGAGTGCTTGGAGCGGTATCTGACATTGTGATGTTCATGACACTGGATGACATGACACTGGATTGAGTTGGTCAATTTATTTAGCGTGAAATACTAGCGGTCTTAACACATCAACGACGGGGAGATTTGTTCGAATCGATCCAAATTCTTAGATTTAGTCGAATTTTAAATTTGAAGGACATTGCAAGACCTTGCACATGATGCAATCGTACAAACTGAAACTAAATAATTGCAAAATATGTATTAATAACTAGTACGGCGACTCCCAATTAGTGGAAATCCAGTTTTGAGCGATATTGCAAAATTTTGCAATGTTGCAAGCAATTGAGCATCCAACTATTGCAAAGCACCCTGAGGATGTTGCCATTGGACTCAGCCAGCATCCTCGAATTGGACTGAGGAACTACAGAAACGTCGAAAAACGTCATTTTTCATAACCAATGCAATTGCAAGTGCAATAACGCCGAACTCCCGTGCATCAATGCGACACCTGGTGCACAGTACACATCGCCGTTACATATACACACAGCTCGGTCTCTTAGAAGCGTATGACTCCTTATGAAAGGAATTCAGCAGCAGCTAGAGTGGAAACCTGCAACTTTGAACGTTGACCTAACCATGACCTGACCTGACCCCTCGTGACCTTATGAGAGAAAGTTGATATGGCATAGATGCTCCTCGTTTAGACCCTTCGATTGCTGCCTCGTGCGTCGCGCTATGACCACCCGTTCTCGAGATAATAACAGCAGAAGCGGTTGACGCCGTTAGCGGTCATTACACGTTACGGCGGAAATTAGATGGCCCTACCTAGATTTGAACCCACGCCATTGCGCCACATTTCACTGGAACTTCTCTTTGCCTTTTGCCAAAGTACCGCACCTATTTTTTGTCGTAGGTCGTCCAAATACATACCAATCGAAAGAGAATTTAATAGGCTTTCAATGAAGCGTGAAGGTGAGGGTATGTGGCCATGAACGTTCGACGCAGGGACAGTCAAACCCGAGCTTGGCTAGAAAATGATGCTGATCGAAGGTTAAACCGAGGCTGAAATTTTTCTTTGAGCCCCCGGTACCGCAGTTAAATATCATTTAAATTTGTTTTCAATGGCTGATTCATGTAGAGCTTGAACAGACGATTATTTTGAGCGTGAAGGTGGCTGTGCAGATGGTCACTGCAATGTCACTGCAGTGTCTTTTATGTAAATTTAGCACAATTTCCCTATGGCAAAGGGGTGAACTGAGGTACCACATTTAGGTCCGTGGCCGCAATCTGGGCGCTACGAAGTGGAAGTTGGCCTTGGCGTCCGCCCTGCCACCTGGTGGATGGACTTGGAAGTAGTAGTTTCTAGGTGGCGCTGTCAACGAAGAAATCGATGCGATGGATCGATACGACGAAAATAAAACATTCTCTATAGCCATCCTTGTGGCTCAGATTCCAGAAATGCGTAACATAAAAATATTTATTTTTAGCAATAACCGAGCGACCGTGACAGGACTCGAACCTGCAGTCTTCTGATCCGAAGTCAGACGCCTTATCCATTAGGCCACACGGTCTTGGCGCCAAGTTACTAACATTTTTAGATACTATCCGTGTTTTAGCTGAGATGTATACATGTAATGACGTCAGAAACAAATTGTTATCCCGTACGGAACCCCAGTAGGACCACTCAGGGCCAGGTGCCCAAAGAAATACGCATGTCATTCAATTTATAGTAGATCGTGGAATGATTTGATGCTACGTTCAGGGAATTTTCATTGCTTTTTAGTGAAGGTAAACTCCTCTTTGATGTGATAAAGTTGGGAGAAAAGAGATAATAATGCATTAATGAATGACTGAATCATTTGATATGATATTCCTAAAAACTTTATCATTCTTGCCTTTATGCTATGCTGTGTCTTGGAAGTATGATGGCGCTAATGCTGAGTGATTTTGTGTTTATAGCATTTTGACTATTACGCATATGGCTTAAAATGTTTATTAATTTTGCGTCAACCTTACTAAAACTTAAAGTATTTACTCTACCTTCAGTCAGTTTTTAGAATATCGGCGCGTCACAAATCGTCTCGCTCCCCTAACCAACATTTCCCTCCCTCCCGCTGTGTTTTAGGCAGCGCCGGGTGTGGCTGACCCTCCTAGACCTGGTGCGAGCGGCGGCCGCTGGTGCTCCCCAGCAGAGGCTGCCGTTTGTGGTGGTGCACGGCTGGTGCCGACTGGTGCTGGTGCTGCAGCAGCCGACTCACAGGCTGTTCAAGCCGGCCACCCGGCTGCTGCTACGTCACGCCAAGGAGGGCAGCCTGGAGATTGGGAAGGTGCCACTGTTCTTCGAGCTCTTCAACAGGTGAGAGCTTTTTCCTCCCGGGTCTCTGGACTGGGATTATTGAGTTTATAGATGTTAAAGGGAATGTCATTCTCGTCAGTTCTGTGGCGTCTACAACACAGCTCCTCCGGGTTTTGGATGTCTGATGCTGTTTTTGAAAGCATTTTGATATGGGGTTGACATTATGCGAGTATGCTTTTGGCTGATTTAGCTTGAATAATTAATGAGATATAATGACTCGTTTCTTACTGTGAATTATTTCACACCGTTCACTTGAATCTAGAGACGTTTTATTCCTAGTCGATCATAACCTGGATAGAATACCGTATCGTCACAATTATAACTTCTCAAGGGCGCCTATTCTGCTCCTCTACATGCCTCCATCACCCCTCTCTCGCCCCGGCAGCGCGTCGAGCCTGGAGCACCGCTCGGAACACGGCTGGATGGTGGGCCACCTGTGTCAGAGTGTTCGCCAGATGTCCGACTACGGCGTCCTCCAGCGGACCGTCACCTATAAACTGGTGATGGGACTGGCCGCCTCGTGCCTGGCATCGGCTCGACCGCAGCTGCTCAAGGTATAGGAGGGGATGTTGGAGGAAGGAGGCGTTTTTTAAGGAGAGGGATGATGTTTTGTGGTTTATGTGACGGGAATTACATTTTATTACGGCCAATTTAGGCGGCAGTGCACACATTTCAATAATAGTGCAGGCGATTTTGACAATACGGCATAGTCTGTCTATGGCGAACTGGCGAAATCGGTTGCACCATTACTGAATTGTGTTCACTCTGTATTTGACCGTAAAAGGTGTTGATAAAATAATGTCGCTCTGTATGTGCCCCTGTGGCTCTTAGCCTGACTTAACTACGCATGTCTATCTGGTTGGTAGATTTGTGTCTGCCCTTTGTCCAATGACCTGTTAAGATCTTTACAGATTTCAGGTGATCCCCTATTGAGGAATCACAGCTGGAAATGGACGAACTTTCACCTGGTCACCTCAGCTGTTTTATGATTGGTGACCTTGAACGGTGATCGGTGACCTTTGGTCCATGATGACATGTCCGATGCAACCTCTGACCTTTTAGTAAAATGTGAGCCATGACCATTTGTAACTACTAACCCGTCCTCATGACCTATAACCAACGACCCTTACATCAGTTCACTGACCCGTGACCCCTGTGCCCAGGTGTTGGAGGTCACCTGTCGAATCCCGGGCGCTCTCCTCGACCTCCACTACCGACATGGACTTCTGGTCTGGCTCAGCGCGCTTCTGCGTCGCTTCGGCCGCGAGCCAGCCACCCGCGCCGCAGTCGTCTCAATGGCGGCACAAATGGCGCAGACGCTGCGCGCACACTACGAAAGCGGCGCGCCGAGGCCTGTGGCGCTCCTCGCCGCACTTGAGGCGCTTGTGGCGCGACTGTCAGATGCTACGAGTGAAGACGCGGCGCTGTGTAAGGATGTGGCGAGGGTGCGGCAAGAAGTAGCGCAGATGCAGGCAGTGGCTGCTGCGTAGGGGGTGAGTGAAGTTTGATGACTGGGTCCCAATAGGTGTCGAAGAGGTCGATAGAATGTGCTGTGGGTTGTGCCACTCTGGTTCCACAAAGGTTGTTGGGAATAGACGACGGGGTGACAATATGTTGAACTGTTTGGAACTCGAGTTTGCAGTTTTGCGATGTGACGATGGTCATGGTATGGTTCTTTGCGTATAGGGTACTCTGGCCCTGTATTTTTTGGCCGTATGTATGTGCCTTTGTCAATGAAGCCAAGGAATATAAGCGCATCACGTCATTCCTGCATTTTCACAGGATAATGGAAAACTTTTAGCTTATATTGTATGACATCAAACTATGAAGTCAGGGTCAGTATTTTGACTTAACTTCTACTTTTGAATTGGACACCGAAATGAGAGCCGGGGAACAAACAGGTAAAGACGTCATTGTCAGACGTCATATGTATCAACTATCGGCTCCAATCCGCCCTCATCAGGGCTGCCTGATCAACTTATCATTATTTCACCTCCCCAGCATGTCACTCTTGGCATGTCCGAGATGCCTCCTATCCAAACCGATCGCAGTGGAGCGATTCCAGGAACCGCCTTGTTTACCAAACACATTTTAACATATTGTCGTGCACGTATATTTCATATTTGGCAATCCAATAGCCAGGTAACCAATACCCTGTTGGTGCTGGTCCTTCAAGACCCACGTTTATTTATCGACCAGCATACTGTTGACAAACTGACCAATGTTTCCTTCATTTAACAACAAGCTTAACATGATGCATCCGTCCAAACAACATCCGTAAACAAGTTTGATTATTACAGGCCGTGGTTTACGACTTACTGGACAAGTTGTTAATCATTGTGATACAAATCAGTCATTCCGTCACGCCACTGTTGTCGCTTACGTTGCGAAAAGATGACCTTTTCAGCATTCCAAAGAAAGACCGTTGCATGTACGAGTATAGCGTATACTATTCGGGAAGTCACAGCTTACCTAGTGAGCTGGGAGCTGGCTTGCTCCTGCATCAGTAGAACTCATGTATCAAAAGCATCCTCGATTAACTCTACGTAAATCCCAAAGAAGTCACATCACAAATCATCAACAATCTCAGCCGATTCCACTTCCAACTTTCCCACCTTACATAGCAGCCAAGTTGCCACCATTCAGGATCTCAATCCAATATCCATCCGGATCTTGAACAAAGGCCAGTCCCTTCATCCTGCCTTCGTTCGGCTTCTTGACAAACTTCACACCGAGCTTCTCGAAGCGCTCGCAGGCCGCCTCGACGTCCGGAACTGCCAGTCCGATGTGGCCGAACCCTCGCGGATCCGAGTTTCCATTGTGGTATCCCTTGAAGTCGGGATCCGACTCGGTCCCCCAGTTGTGTGTCAGCTCGATGGTCGCCTTCCTTGAGAAACACCACTTCGTACGCTCCTTTTCGTCCGTCGGGATGTCCTCTTTCGCCTCGTACCCCATGAAGTACAGTGAAAACTTCGCTTCGGGGAAGTCGAACTTCTTCAGAAGGCGCATGCCGAGCACGCGCGTGTAGAAATCGAGCGACGCCTTGGGGTCTTTGATTCGGTACATGGTCTGCTGCATGATAAAGTCAGCCGTGGAGGGGTCCGGCTCAGCACACGCCGCCGACACCTCTTCGGCAGAGAGAGACATGACTCCTGCTTGCAGATTAACTGAGGACAATCCCGATTATTATCTGGAATATAACATATCAGTGGATCGTCAGCATCCAGACCTGGACCTGTGGTGTTCATTAAACTGAGCTCCGCAACGTGTTTCGATGTTACCCCACTGTTGTAGCAAACGTAAGACCGTCGTCATTGGACTGTAATATTCATGGTCAGAGAAGCACCGTCGCATTTGGTGGAGCTGTTTCACACGAGCCATATCAGACAAAGGAGTTTTCCAAGGAACAATGCCATCGCCCATCATGGAAGTCACAGACAACGTCTCATGTTGCATTTAGTGTCGGCTGTGCAATGTGCATTGTTTATGAATTAGTATGCGGCTGCAAGCACGGTTTCCGTCAAAGCAAAGGTTGCTACGTTAAAAAGGAAAAACAGATGGCAAAGTAACCGACCTAGCTCACTGTGGGTCGTAGACCACTCCAATCATGCTACGCCAGTCACATTATACGACTGGTTTAGGGTGGTAGAGGAATGTTGTCATAACCTTCCCGAAGATAGTCCGGGTGCAGACTGTGGCCTATTGAGAGTAGTTCACGGGTGAAACGACAAGCCATCCGGACCGTGTCGTGTTCTTCGGCCACCGGTTTATGAGGCGGACAGACGCCTGGGCTGCTAAACTACGTCGCGGTGCAGTGTGTCTCGTCAGTTCGTCCGGATATAGCCGCAAACCTTGTGCAACGGTACAGTGCAACAGCATACCTACTATGAATAAAACAGATGTTACAGTGCCACCGAATCAAATTCCTGAGGTGCGCTATTGGAATTTCTCAAAACACTGCTGAAGGGATATCTATGATGCTAAAACATGGGGTTTAAGTACAAATAGAGCCTGACCTTCGGACATTCAGGTAGATGTGTACTGTATGCAAAGGTAAAATTCAACAAATTTGAGGACTGAGGAATGTTGGAATCCCACATTATAAAATATCATAAAAATCAACGCTGCCTTGTTAATGACCACATGGTTGTAACCAATTACTCTGAAAAAGGCAGATCCACTGGTTAAAGAATAAGGGTGGCGCCTGTTGGCTGTTGGTTCAGCTGATAGGTAGCAATAAATAGGAATACTGAATAAATCATACTTCCTGTCACAGATGTGTATTGCTTACTTCTTTAAGAATGGCAAAAGAACTAATAATATGCTAAAATGCAAATTTAAAGGTTAAGCCATCCTTGCACATGTGTGGAGTGAGAGAACATAGTAGGTAATTGTACTGCTTTGAAGTATTGTATGTGACAGAAGGCAGAAACTTTGTTGTTCAAGACTACCTATTGTTCAAGACCTACCTACCTACCTATTATTTGTATGCTCAAAGACTTCATTGTAGATTGTAGAAACATTGCTTCCAAATTCAATTCAAATTACCTAAAACTTAGTGTTTAAAGTAGCCTTAAGAACATGGGTCCATCGATGTAATATGGTTCACTATGAGCTGTGATGATCAATGCTGTTGACCATGTTAAGGCATCAGCATGACTCTTCCGCAGCATCCTAGCCCAAGCCTGGCCGCAGTTCAAAAGTTGAAGTGCTAGTCTTCAGTTCACAGACGTGGTGCTCTACCCAGCTTATTTAACTTGTCTTACCCTCCTTCCAGTGTCCCAAAAATGTATTTTGCTGGGGGGTCAGAGGTAAAAATTATTTACCCAAAGGCCAAAACGGGATGAGAGTGCAAATTGCGGTTTAGGTAGGCCCATAAAAGGTTGACAAAAACGACCAAAAGTAGGAATTTATATACAGGTGTGGTAGATTGTAGGATGAAAAAGACCATCTGTGCAAATGCTCTGTTTAAGTAAAACCAGGAGTGATTTTTTTTTTTTTTAAGTGGAGGTGAGAGTGGAGAATTGTTTTCATTTGGATGTTGTTTCCCACCTAAATCGATAAAGTTTTGGATGCTGCCTCCTTCCATTTGGATTTTGGAGTCTGACCTACTAATTAAAAAAGGATTAGGTACCTACCTACTTGATAAAATCAAACAGAAACGTCAATGAAACAAAGATATTCAACATCTAGGCTGGTATTCATTGATGAAAATATGATACTGCCAGTGTTTGCAATTTTAAGTACTTTTTTCATTTTGATTCAGCAGTCTAGCTTTTGTACCACTTCAATTTCGCTCATGTCAAACAACGCTATGCTCTAGTCAGCCATCTTAATGAAGTAGGTACCCATTTCCGTCTTTGAATCCATGCTTTTCCGTAAGAATCTTGGCTTTTCCATAGCCACCGTGGCTTTTCCCCGACCCTGAAACCGCTACCGAAACTCGATTCAAGATGAAAATGAGATCGCAAAAACAAAAAATTCGACCGACTATATGTAATAATTGTGTATAATATAATAGTAATAGGTAATCAAATAATTTTCCCTCTCGCTTCGCACCACTTCGCACCGGCAACAGCAACCATGCACGGTATATAGAGAACTCAACCATGCTTACCGCTTACCGCGCCATTTCTGCCGCATTCGCCGCAACTGTTTTTTCAAGGTCCGGTCTAAAGGCCTAACTTAATTGAACAACCGTTTAGTCATATTTATGACGCAATCACATCACATGAAATATGTAATATGTATCCCACGGTGACGGTGTGCCGGTGTTCTCTGGAGTGTTAGATCTTCTAAAATAGATTATTCACAGCGATCTATTACCTATAATAGACGCGACACTAAGTATGTAGACATTCAGCCCTCAACACTTGTAATATACCTACCCCTACCTACCTTTGTGACTGCGCCTGCGCTTTCGAACGCCGTTTGAATTTTGCGGATCCGTCCAGTATTTTCGGAGATACGAAGGGGGGGGGGTGCAAAAAAATAGCCCCCTCCCCCACCCCAACGGTGTAATCTTCGGCAGGCACTGCTGAGCACGACGCAGAATCGCTGTCCGCTGATCATTGCCAGAGAAGCTATAATGTCACAATTATGTCCCCATCCACAAATCTTCTCGGGAAATGGGCGGTGGGCACTGGGCACTCACTTTATTCAATGATACACGACTTTGCTCAGTGATACGCGGTGATACTCAATCATAACCACTAACCAGTAGTACTTAATGACATGACACTCGATACCTATAGACACTCGATACCTATAGACACTCAATGATAGGTATACAGTGAAGCATTCCAGGATTGATACCCAAAGCTGAGGCAAGCAGGATTGGCAAGCTGTGGGTGTACAGCTGCAACTCGAGTGCTTACAAAGAGGGAACTGGAAACACACCTCCCGCACACTCGTAGTTCCCGCTTCACGCTTGCTCGCACTACAGACACTTGAGTTTCACTCGGGTTTTCCGCAGGTATTTGACTGCTCCTACTGATGATAGGCACTCACAGTTTCTCGATGTTTCCATTCCCATGCTCCGACTTTTCCGACTTTTCCGGAAAATTTCAGTCACCAATGCTCAGAGTCCCCCGAATGCTTCCACTAAAGAGTCTAAAGACACTCAAATATATCTCCGCTGTCCGCACTCGGAGATGAGAGAACTCCCCACTCAGGGTGTCTAGGCCAGGGATGGATAATTATGGGTTTGGGGGTGCTCGAGCACCCCATCATGGAATTCAAAAGTCACCATATAATAGTGTTCCG